AGATTTGGCAGCGTGTGCCTATAAACCCATGGTAGTGAGATGTGGGGAAGAGCCAGGTGGCTTCCTCAAAGCTCACTGGCCTGCTAGCCTAGCATATGTGAAAAGTTCCAGGCCGATGAGAGATCCTGTTTCAAACAAAACGTAAAAAATGGGAAGGCTTCTTAGCAACAGTATCTGGGGTTGTTCATTCAACAACTGAGGGAAATGCAGAGACTTAGCCAAACATTAGGTGGAGCTTGGAGAATCCTTTGGAAGAGGGGACAGAAGGATTGTAGGAGGCAGAGGGGGTCAAGGACACCACAAGAAAATCCACAGAATCAAGTAACCTGGGCTCACAGGGATTCACAGAGACTGAATCGACAACCAGGGAGCCTGCTTGAGACTGACCCTCTGCATATATATTACAATTGTGTAACTTGGTCCTCCTAACTGTAGGAATGGGCCTATATCTGATTCTTTTGCCTGCTCTGGGGATCCCTTTCCTCCTACTGGGTTGCCTCATCCATCCTTAATACGAGGGGAGGTACCTGCCTACCTTATAGCAACTTGATCTGCCAGGTTTGTTTGCTATCCCTGGGAGGCCTACCCCTTTCTGAAGAGAAATGGAAGAGGAGTGGATGGGTTGGGGGGTGGTGATGACTGTTAAAAGTCATTTTAAATCAGCCAGGTGGTGGTGGTGGTGCACACCTTTAATTCCATCACTTGAGAGGCAGAGGCAGGCATATCTCTGAGTTGTAGCATCCGGGCTACAAAACTCTTCAAGGATTCGGGCGAGGGCCTGAGGATTGAAATGAAGATAAAAGACAGCGGGCCATTCTTGCAGGAAGAATGCCATTTATTGCAACAAGAGGGGAGCATTATATACTAGTTAGCAGGCACAGTGGAAAACTACCAAGGTCAAAGGTTCATGTTCCCAGGACCTTCAGGCAATAAGGATGGGAGAAAAACAGGAACTTGTATTCATGCCTTATTGGAAGGAGGGGAACAAGAGGTAAGCTCCTGGTCACAAGCTGGTCAGCAGATCCCTATGGGGGAAGGGTCCAACACTGAGTTCCCTGCCAGCCTGGTCTATAGATCAAGTTCCAGGACCAGGCTCCAAAGCTACAAAGAAACCCTCTCCTGAAAAACCAAAAAAGAAAAAAAAATCACTTTAAATCTTGTATTGTACTGTTTTGAGATAGTGACTTAGTATTGCTAAGTTGGAAATAAAATCTTTTCTCAGCTGGAGAGAAAGCATGCCAACCTTGGTAAAGAGCCTGGAGATGCTGAGGTTCTTAGTAGCTCAATCTTCTGCCTTCACTCTAAGGCAAATGTGAAAACCAGATTCTTACTAACTCATTTTTGTGTGTGCATGTGTATGCATCTGTGCATGAGTGTGTGCACAGGTGTGGAGGCCATATACTCTAGGCTAGTTTTCTCTGTTACTTTGTACCATGTCATTTGACATAAGATCTGTCAGTGAACTTGCAGCTTTCCAGTTAGGCTAGACTGGCCGGCCATCGAGCCACACGGAATCTACCTGTCTTTGATTCTTTTTACATGGGGGTCCAAACCTGGGTACTCACTCTTTACCAACTGAGTCATCTCCTTGGCCTTAAAACAAAACAATAAAACAAACTCATGAAACACCTGATTTGTCTGTTAGCCTCCAACTCACCATCAGCTGGCATTGCTCAGTGGCGGTGAGTTGGTTGGGTTGAGATTCGTGGCACAGTGACATTGCCAAGTCTCTGGAGTGGTTGAGATATGGCTCAGTGAGAAGACACGACAGAGGCACGAGAGGCCAGAGCCTGACATTATACTCAGAAGCTGCAAGTTTGAAATGCTGACAGGCAGGTCCACAGTGACTCTGAAGAGGTAACTGTCCCTTAGTTATCTGTCATTGAGAAGGAAGCAGCTATATGGTCCTCATATCTTCATGTCTTGGTAGGATGCATTCAGTTAACAGGTGAAGCCAGCAGGACGAAGAGGAGGCGTAGACAGAACTGATAGTGTGATAGTTTGGGAAGGAGAGTCAATGTCCCTTCCTTCCTCCCCCAAGTCCTTCCTTTACGCTATGTCACAAAGTCACAGGCTGTTAAGAGAGATAGATGACGGCCACTCTTTGTGACAAAGTTTAATTTGAGATTGTAGGGAAAATAGCTTTTCAAAAGAAAATCTATGTATTCTCTCCCTCATACTCTACTCTCTCTCTCCCCCCCCCTCTGTGTGTGTGTGTGTGTGTGTGTGTGCATATATAGGTACATGTGTAACAGGTGGGTGGGCCCTAGAGGCCAACATTGTGTGTCTTCCTGAGTGGCTCTCAATTGCATTCTTTTTTTTTTTTTTTTTTTTTTTTTTGAGACAGGGTACCTCACTGAACCTGGAGCTGGCCAGCGAGATCCACGGATTCCCATCACCTCTCTCTAGTGCTGGCATCTATGGGCATACGCCATTGTGTCCAGCTTTGTAGATGGCTGCTAGGGGCTCAACTCAGGTCCTCGGGCAAGTGCTTTTCCAACTGAGCCTGAGAATATCTTCCTAAGTGATACTGTGACTGTTCCGTGTCCTACATCGGTTGTGTTCCACCACGACTGTCACCAATAACTCAATTAGGGCTCTGTTCTGTAGTCCTGTAGTCCCAGAAGGTTCCCAGCCCTAAGAGCCTATCCATGTTAGCTCATTTTCTGTTCCCTTTCTCTCTGGGGAAGGACGGAAACAAAGCTGCTTCTTGTGTTTGTAGCAGAGGCTGTGGTGGTTGGAGGCCACGGCTCATGCGTGCTTACAGCCCCCCTTCTCACTCTTGCATTGTTGCGTGCAAAAACCTTCCTCAAACACCCTCCTCGTATCCCAGAGGGTGGCTAGGAACACAGGGACTTATTTATCCTTTATTCTGTTGCTTCTCCAGTGAAGGCTCTTGCTCCTAGGATATATCCAGCAATGTCTGGAGTCCTTCTTGGTTGTCACATTTAGGGACTCCTTGCTGTTTTGTGGTTTGGTCCTCACACAGAATGTTCTCATGCTAAACAACCAGGAACTCAGTGTTCATGATACATCCATGTTTCTCTTCTTCACTCGGGTGAGGCTTGGTGAAATGTGTGACAGTCAGATGTGTAAGACACCACAAGAGAATATCCCTAGCCTTTAGAATATGACCACATCCTTACTAGTTCAGTAAGTACTTGTGAACAATGATAACTCTAGTATTTTGTTGTTGTTGTTTTTTGGTTTTTTGAGGCAAGGTTTCTCTGTGGCTTTGGAGGCTGCCCTGGAACTAGCTCTTGTAGACCAGGCTGGTCTGGAACTCACAGAGATCTACCTGCCTCTGCCTCCCGAGTGCTGGGACTAAAGGCATACGCCACCACCGCCCAGAAATAATTCTAGTATTTATTTAAATATTTTTCTAAATCTGATTATGGTTAATGTTGGATTCTCCAGCATGGGTATGAATGTAGAACTCTGCCTATCAATAACCAACAAAAATACAGTCTATAAAAAAAAAACAAAAACAAAAAACAACTGCATTGCCCTGCATAGATGAGGCAGGTATTCTCCAGCCCTAGCCCTACTGAGAAGGCAGATGATAGCTGCTGGGGAGGGAGAGTGCGTGTGGCCTCTTTAGGTAGCCAGCCCCACACTCATGCACATATGGACAGCACTTTAGACATAGTGGGCTATCAGAGAGCGAAAGGGAGAAGGAGAGGGGAAAGTGGGGAGGGACAAGGAAGGGAGGAAGGCAGAGGAATCATGAAGTTGTATTGGGGGATACTACAGAGAGAGATGGACATGGATGTGGGTAGATATGGTCATATGATGTTGTGTACATGAATGAAATCCTGAAAGAATAATAAAAAATTCTGAGGGCTGAGGATGTGGTAGGATGCTTTGCTTGCCTAGACGCACTCAAGACCCTGGGTTCAACCCCCAGTTCCACTAAGAATCAGGCAAGATGGCACACGTGTAATCCCAGCACTCAGGTGGTAGAGGCAGGAGGATCAACAGTTCAAAGGCCATTGCTGACTGTACAGTAAGTTCGAGGCCAGCCTGGAATTCCTTAGACTCCGTATCAAGGAGAAAAACAAAGGTTAGGATAGAATATGCTAGTCACTAAAAATAATAGTGAACTTTATTCTGAAGCTGTTTGAGGCCTGCTTCACCTTCACATCATGTCTGTGTGTCTATGGCCACAGTGCCTTGTAGAGGAGGGGTTCCTGCGGTGCTGAGGTAGGATGGGCCAAGGCAAACATCTCTCTGTCTGGACCTTGTTTGTGTCCCGGAAGAATCTTCCAGTCTCACTCCTTATCAGAGTTGCCTTCTGCACAGCCTGCTTTGCTTGCTAGAGTCTGGCCTGGTTGGACACAGTTCCTGCTGTCTCTGAGATGTGCCTATGTTAGGGGGCGTCATTTGTGCTACTTCAGAAACACTTGAGAACTTTTGTTGTTTGTGGTTCTGGGGAAGGTCGTTGTATGTACCCCATCTTGTGGCGTGACCTACACTGCCAGCCCAGATTTCAGTCTTATTTTCTATATTAGAGAGGCAGTGGGAACATGTCCAGACTTCGTTATTGTGTTTGGGGTGTGTATGTATGTGTGTGGTTTCTTACTGAACCCAGAGCCATACTGGCAGCCAGCAAGCCCTAGCATTCTTCTCTGTCTTCCATGTGCCTTCCACTGCCCCGTGCTGGGTGTCACAGGCATGCAGGGTCACACATGGCTTTTTATGTGAGTGCTAGGGTTCTGAACTCACTCCTCAGGCTTATGCCTAATGCTGGTACCCCAGCCTCTGCCCAGCCCTTGTACATTGTAGTTCAGAACACTGTCATCTGCAGAGTTCATGCTTGAGCACCATACAATAAAGTCACCAAAGGAAACCCTGCAAAAATATCTCCCAGTGTTTTAAGTAAGTTTGTAAGTTGGTGTTGGGCTGTGTTCATTTATATCCTGGGTGTCCTGGGGCCACAGGTTGGATATGCATGGCCCAACCTGCAGAGGTTTTTCAGTTTTCTTCTGTTTCTTTCACAGATCTGAAGAAAACACTTGCTGTGCTACTGGATAACATCTTGCAGCGCATTGGCAAGCTCGAGTCGAAGGTGGACAATCTTGTCAATGGCACAGGAGCAAATTCTACCAACTCCACCACAGCTGTCCCCAGCTTGGTATCGCTTGAAAAAATTAATGTGGCAGGTAAGGATCTCCGTTCCCTGCCCAGCCATGGGACTGAAACCCTGCCTAAGATCATAGCACCATGGCTCAACTGGTACAATATAAACTCCATAAGCTTGACGTGACTGCTGTGAAGGCAAGGTTACATTTATATTTGAATAACAGATATTGGGATGTTTTTGTGTGGTCCCCTCAGAGCATCTGGTGGTTTCTCTGACATGTACGCAGATAAAGAGCTCCTAGAATTGAGCTCTACTGACAAGATTCAGAACACAGATTAAGTGAATTGTAGACATTATCAGAGACGCTCCCAGCAGATGAGTTATTTCTCTGTTCAACTCCTGTCAGTTGCAAAAGTCTGCTAGTTATTAGGATGTGCCAGTGCATTCCTGTAATCACAGCACTTGAGTGTGGGAGTTCATTAAGGAGTTCAAGGCCATCCTTATTTGTACAGTGAGTTTGAGGCTGCCCTGGCCTGTAGGAGAACCTCCCAGGAAACTGAAACACTTAATGGTCAAAGCTGAGGAATTTTAACAGAAGGTAAGATAGTACTGTTTTGTAACACAGAGTGTGAAATTAACTGTTCGTGGTTGCAGGCAGATATAAGTGAATGATTAAATTCATATGAAAAAGGGAAAAATGGAAGAAGAATGTAAGATAATTTCACATTACACAGATATTATTCTGGTAAGCAATGAGAACATAACTCCCTGCCCATAAGTGGAGGATAAATGTCATGACTGTGTTCCCAAGGTTATAAGGGAGGAAGAAAGAGGAATTAGGGGCTGGAGTGTGGCTCAGTTGGTACGATGCCTGCCTAGCATAGACAAGGCCCTGGGATCAATCCCCTGTACCTCATAAACTGAGTGTGATGGTGCATACCTGTAATCTGAGTACCCAAGGTGGAGGCAGGAGGATCAGGAATTCAAGGTCATCCTCCGTGGCGTAGAGAGTTTGAAGCCAACCTGGGCTATGTGAGACGCTCTCTCAAGAAATAAAAGCAAACACTAGGTAGCCGGTGTGACGGACAGAAGCCGCCAGACTCTGGAAGTTTAAGGTGATGGCTACTTACTGCCTGTGGTAGCTTCTCTCACCCTTCTCGTGAAAGCAGGGCTGCCCCTGTACACGGTGCCTCTGTGTATATATGGAGTGCTAGGTGAGATGGAAAAGCCTTATTCTGGCCAGGTGCCAGAACACTTTCATGTGATTTCCACAGGGATGCACCTCGCCTTGCCCCTTCTTAAAACTGGAATCTCAAACAAGAGAAGGGAAATAGTTAAAAGCAAAACCTAAGTCTTGCACCAAAAGCCACTGTCCACAGTTTGCCTTGAGTCCACTCTTGTATCACAATGCCTTGGAGTCCACCCCTGGGCCTGTATGTGTATGAGCCTCAATTCCTCTTGATAGGATGACCATAATATCTGGTATAGGGCTGGAGGTGAGGCACTTTGGATAGGTGGTTGTGAACAAGCTGTCTAGACTTCTGGTATGTGGTATTACCTAGCAGTGTCTGGAAAAAAACGGCTTAGGTGTTAAGAGTACTTTTTGCTTGCTCTTCCAGAGGACCTGGGTTTGGTTCCCAAAATTCAAATGATGGCTCACAACTGTCTGTAACTACAGTTTTAGGGGATTTGATGCCCTCTTACAGCCTTTTCAGGCATCAGGCACACACATGATGCACAGACATACATGCAGGCAAAATGCCCCCACTCCCCCGCACTATTTAGAAGATGAAGTTAAGTAGTCACGTTACTTTTGAATTTTTATAGATCAAGTTTTAAGGGACCGGGGAAGTGGCTCTGTTGGCAGAGTGTTTGCCTGTCAGATACAAAGCCGTGGGCCCCACCCCCAGCACTGCCTGAAACAGGGAGTGGCAGTACGGACTGAACTCTTAGTCCTTGTGTTTAGGAGGGAGAAGCAGTGTGATCAGAAATTCAAGGTCACCCACAGCTACGCATTCAGTTCCAGGCCACACCGGGACACTGTAATCAACAAACAAACAAATAAATAAACAAACAAATAAAAGCAGCCTATGCTCACACGTATCCTAGCTGCTTTCTCTCCTCCTCTCTTGCAACAACTCAGTGACCTAAAAGTAGGAGAGATTTTTCTCTCCCCTTTCCTGTCTTACAATGTCAAATCAGTTACTTTTTCCCATTACGAGAGCTGGGTGAATTACCTTCTCTTAGGCTTTTTGCCCTTTAGCAAGTTTTAATTCACAAACAATATTTCTAATAATCCTAGTATCTCACCAAAGTGTTAAAAATAACTTTTAATTACAACACAGAGACAGTGTCATCCAGGCTATAAATCCTGTCTTTCTTGCCATTTCCAGCAGTTTCTGTAATTAGACAAGGAAACCTCCCGCTGTGTTGAGCTGCTTATTAATAAGTGGGCGCTGTGCCTCTCCAGGCTCTGCTCGCAGTGCCCACTCCCAGTGGAAGTTGCTTGTGGAGGGTTCCTGTCTGACTTCATTATGGTTCTGTGTGATCTGGTTTGGAAGATAGGGTAGAATGTGTGTATGTGTGTGTGTGTGTGTGTGTGTGTGTGTGTGTGTGTGTGTGTGCATGCATGCATGTGTGTACGTGTGTGTACGTACACTCATGTCTACAGTTGCTTGTACTGTGCCTCTTTCTAAATGCATATGGAGGTTAGAAGTCAATTGTGAATGTCTTCCTCAATTGCTTTCAGCTTTATCTTTTGAGGCAGGGTCTCCACTGGCCTAGAGAACACTGATTAGGCTGGCCTGACTGGCCCCAAGAATTCCCCCCCCATCCCTACCTCTCTAGTTCTGGGATTCTAGGTGCATTTTTATGTGTATACTCAAGTCTTCATGGGCTTGGGATAAGCACTTTACTGACTGAGCCCCAGCATGGTATTTTCTATTTTTAAGTTTGTTGTTCCATGATCAGCCATGTCCTGTAACTGAAGGACCGGGATAGACTTTGATGCCATTACTCTTCCTGCTGTGGGATCTTGTGGCCTTTAAAAGTCCAAGTTTGAGACCAGGCTATAGAGAGAGGACACTTTTCGTGAGTGTCCACTTCCGGGTATCAGTGGTGATCTTGGAAGTGACACGGAGTAGATGCTTCCCAAGGGGATGCTGGTCAGCCCCGTGTACTGTACTGGCTAACTCAGCTAACAAGTGCCTGTGGGGCTCATTCTGGAAGCTGTTAACTCAGATTGAAGCTACTATGGATGTGCTTTAATATTTAGTGAATTTAATATAATACACAATGAAGGACTGGGGAGGAGCTCGGTGATTAAATACATGTAGTGCTCTTCATGAAAAGCCCAAGTTCAGTTCCTAGCTCTCACGTCAGGTCACTCACAACCACCTGGAGCACCTGTTCTAGGGGATCTGATGCCTTCTTCCAGCCTGTGTGAGCATCTGCACTCAAGTGTGCATATTCATTCATATGTACATAATTTTCCAAAAGAAAAAAATCAGAAAGATGCTGGATGGGGTTTTCTTGTTGTTGTTTTTAGAAATAGGCACAGATTCAGGGTCAGAATTGCTTTGCTTTGAGACAGGGTCTGCGTTAGTTCCTTTTCTGTTGCTGTGATAAAACACCATGACCACGGTAACTTAAAGAAGGAACTGTTTATGTGGCTTGTGTTTCCAGAGGGATAAGGGTCCATCATGGCAGAGAAGCATGACAGCAAGCAGCAGACATGATGGGTGGGGCAGAAGCTGAGGGCTCACATGGTAAACCACAAGCAAGCCGTAGAGTAAGTTCACTAGAAATGGCTCAAGTCTTTAAACTCTCAAAACCTATCCCCAGTGACATACTTCCTCCACAAGACCACATCTCCTCAGCCTTCCCAAACAGTGCCATCAACTGGGGACCACGTACCTGTTTAATGCCAGAGACTATTAGGCACAAGCTACCACCTGGCCTCATGTTTCCTGGGCTGGTCTTTTGTAACCAAGACTTGGAATTTCTTATACTCATGCTTCTACTTCCCAGTGGTAGGATTACAGATGTGAGGTACCACACCAGGTTGATGGGATGGTGGGGGTGCTACCCAGGGCCTTGTGCACGCACGCACACTGGGCAAGCACTCTACTAACTGAGCCACATCCCTAGCCCACAAATTCAGTTTGTAGTAATGAACCCCATGCTGGTGCCTTTGAGTCCTTCAGTGTTCTTACTGGATAAATAGGGAAAGAATATACACACACAGTAGCAAACTATGGTTGTTGTGAGGTAGGATGACATTATATTCTGGAACTAGTTGTGACTGAGGCCTAAGTGGAGGAGAAGCTTCCTAGAAATGGACTGTGACTTCAAGATAACGGGGAGAGGAAGAGAGGAAGTTCAGAGCAGCTGTGCAGTAGGTATCCCTTACTCTCCTGTTCATACGTTGACTTAATCTGCTTTGTGCTTCTGGGAAGCAAGTCCTTTGACATGTTTTACTGAGCCTAGGTATTTTGGAAAGGGAAGAGCCCTTGGTACCACAGTCTCCACAAGGCCATGCCCTCTGTGTCAGTTCCTTACTCATTGCTGTGCCAAAGTACTTGACCAAAGCAACTTAAGAGGAGAGAGGCTCATTCTGGTTCACGGTTTGCCATGGCAGGCGAAGGATGGCAGCATGGGTGTGAGGCAGCTGGTCACATGGCCTCCACAGGAAGCAGAGGGAGATGGATGCTGCTGCTCAGCTTGCCTTTTCCTTGCTGCGCAGTCTGGGTACCCAGCCAATGGGGTGGTACCACTCTCAGGGTAGGTCTTTCCACCTCAGTTAACCAGTTCAGAAACTCCCTTGCAGACATGCTCAGACGCTTGCCTTTGGAGATTCTAGAGCCCATCAAGTTGACAGTCAAGATTAAAACGTCATACCCCTCTGTTAGTTTACAGGAAAGACATTCTTCATGCTTTAATCACCTCTGCTTTCCTTCTGTATGCCACCACAAAGGTCCAAATCTGTGGCTTAGTTGCTTTTCTATTGTGATAAAAACACCCTGACCAAGCAACTTAAAAAAGTAAGTGATATGCGGGCTCACGGTTTTGGAGCCTTAG